AAGCAAATTCGTTCATCGAATCTTCCTGTTTCGGGACCGGTACTGAAACAAACAGCGATGGAAATCGCTGGGGTACTCGGAGTAGAAACCAACTTCAGTGCCAGTGATGGATGTTCAGAGAGATACATTGCATGTACTGTAAAAAGCACTGCTGTACAGTATTTTCCTAATTGTAGTTGTTGTTTTTTTTTAACTTCGTTTTAGTCGTCATATCGGATAACTTGACACATTTTTACTTCCCCTTGGAGTGTCGACTTATGCGGACTCGACTGTATGTATACACAGTTTAAAATATAAATTAAACTTTTTTTAAAAAAAAAAAGAAAAAAAAAATATAAATTAAACTATCAATTTTTATATTAAATATAATTTTATTAAAGAAAATGTAATAATTTTAGATAATCTACATTAGAAAAATTTTTATAATTCTGGTTTTAACTATCTTCAATTGATGGAATTAAAAAATATATATTAAGTTGATGATGTCACATTAAGTTACTGAATGTTTCAAGTGAAAAACTTTTCCAGTTCACAAGATCCTTTAGGTTCCCTCATTAAATTATATACTAAAATGATTATATTTATATCCTAGATTTTATTATTTTTAAGTTAAATTTAACAAGATTTCTAAAAATTACAGCTGTAAACATGTATTATATATAAAGAATTTAAAATTTAAAGATTAAATTACACTTAACTGAGTCAAATACCTTTAATGTTAATGAAGTATTTTTTATACAAATATCGAATTGGTGAAAGTACAAAATTAGAATTAAACTTAACAAATTCAAATGTCTGTCCTTGAGATGCAAATGAAAAACTAAAGTCAATTTGATGACAAATTTGATATATTGTGATTTTTTTACATTAAAACAAATTAATATCTTCCTCTTCCTCTTCTGTAACCGTATCCTCGTCCTCGATTGGGACTGGGAAATTTCACATTCGTACTATATTTTCCACTCGGTGGGCTATAAAGTTCTCGCTCTCCTTTTGTTTTTTTTATTTCGGCAGATTCGTCATACGTAATGGGTGTTTTATTTTTTCTTTTTATAGTATCTGATATGTTGATGCCACCCGAACTACTGCTGGGTGGTTTCCACGATAGTGTTATTGTGCTCTTGTAAGAAGGCGGATTATGAAATAAATCTTTAATTAACGTATTGATGTTAGAAGTGGTGCGTAGTGCAACAACTTTTATTTTATTTTCCTCCGTCTTCAGCTCACTTCCTACTTTACCGTGTAAAGCTTCTTTCAATTTTTTAATATAACCCTGAATACCTCTTGCTAAGTATTGTAATCTGAGCTTCAGATCACGTAATCTCTCCGCATTTTCTTCGGCAGTTAAGAATTCCGGATATCGTTTAGCAAGCTGATGAAAGGCAAACATCAAACATTCTACGTGCGACAACTGAAGAGACGGTTCTTCCGTAGATTTTTCAATCGTCTCGTCGGATGGAGGTAAGGGCATATATTCCAATAATCTCTTATAAACCATTTCCAAACATTTAGGAGTATCTTCCATGTTATTAGCAAACGGCGACATTTCAGCCAACAATTTCAAAATCTCCAACGCAACATCTACGCCTTCTTGTAGAGGCGGCAACTCGGACAACACGGGTAGCACCTGGAAGCACACGTAATGCACGAATTGGCCGGAACTAACAAAAGGCGAAAAGTACGGCCGAGCCTGACGGATACACTGGACGAGTCTATCGACGCTGTCGGTGTCGCCGCGATCGAAATCTTTTTCGAAACCGGCCTGTTCCGCAATCATTTCGACCAAAAGCTGCTGTCCGCCGACGGTCTTGGCCATCTTTAAGCCCGACAGCATACCCATAACCGTGACAAATTCCTCACCGGTGATGTCTTCGAACACCTTTTTGCATTCTTGAAACAAATAATCTTCTACGTCTCTGGTAAGCACGTCGCCGGGCAACGACTTCACCTTACCGCCCAGAAAGTTGATGGCTCTTTCTCGAACGATCTCTTCTCCGGCATTTATCTGCGAAAACAGACCACCGAAAGTATCTTTGGCATCGACGTTGAACAAGCTCATTAGAGACTGGTGGACTACGGATAGTTCCGTAGAATCATCGGTGGCAAGGAGTTGGGCCAAGACGTCGGCTATTTTTGGAACATATTCCTTTCTATCTTTACAGAAACTCGGTAAATCTTTGATAGCTTGTTTACGAATTGCAACGTCGTCGTCTTCACACAAATCTAATTGAGCATCTATTGACTTGTCTGATAAATGTGGATAATTCTTAAAGAAACGAGAAATGAATTGAGATGCCAATCGCTTTTCATTACTCGATCCTTTAACTGCTTCCAATATCTCTAAATATTTCTGTTCAAAGTCTGCCGCCTTACCTTTAGTTTCGGCATCTGCTAATATATCGTAGTTCTGATACAGCTTCTCCACGTTATCCATTTTTAAAACTAATTTCCCTTACTTTTCCTTCTAACCAAGCAACCGGTAAAAGAATTTTCAATTTTAACACTGAATAATAATGGCAGCACACGTTACTTTTGATTTCGACGTCGAGTGGCGCTTCTAAGAATTGATACAAATTTTAAATTTTTAAAAATTGGAATATTTTTAATCTTTGCTTAAAACGTCACTATTTTAATTATGCTTTTGAATATAAAAGTCGAAAATCAAATATAAATTTCCAAAAAAAATATCTATCTGAAAAGCGACTCTCAGAATTTTTCGTGGATGGTTTGATATAGTTAAGTCCCACCCCGCCCCTCAACGCCCGATTGTCTTGTGGGCTTGGCACGAAAGCAGTTCCTCTAATTACGGAAGACGTAAAACAAATGAAATGAATAGAATTCTGATAAGCTGGATTTATTATGTAGACAAAGTAGTGTTGCATTGTCTCGATTTTATTCAATACAGCAGTGAACTCGTCTATAAAAAAAGTGAATATGAAACTGCATCCCAATACAAATGGTAAAATCATGAAGCTCGGATCTAGAATTTGAACCCAAATCCTTTATGACAATAGAAAAATCCATTACTTTGCAGCAGTGATTGAAGATAATTATTAAGTAGTCAGTCTAAAATTCTAAGAACAACAATCGCATGCGATCGATAACTTTTATAATAAATCTAATAAATTCTATGAACATAAGCAATATTCACTGATGGCCGGATGGCTGAGCAGTTGAAGTATTAACTTACCTCTGGAATTCGGAAAGTAAATCCGAACGGGTCGAAAAACCCCACGAATTTTTCGAGTGATAGGGGCCTCGTCTCCCACTACCCGATGCCCTATCGCGGGCCTGGCCAAACCCATATTGAGTTTGATTAAAAGATCTCCATTTTTCACTCTTTCCCTTCTATTGGTACTTTTTATCAAGTCCATTGCGGGTTTAGCCTGGAGCCGGGTTGTGGGGAAAATTTGACACGTCTGGGACAGAAGCCCACGGAAAATTCCTTGGGTTTTCGACTCGACCAGTACGGTCAAAGTGGAGGCCTATCGCTCTGGGGACGGAATCGAATCCAGATCGATCGAAAAAGCCTCAGAAATTTTTTAGGTGATGGTTCGTCCGGATATTTCGGGCTCCGTTTCCCACTACTCGATCGCTCCATTGTGGGCTTGGCCAGACCCATAATGGGCTTGCTAAAAGAGGCCGTCTTAGTGCCTACAGGGTGGAGTTAAAAAAAAAGCCTTCGAGAGCTGTAGGCTGATATCTAAACCGCTTAACCATCTGGCCGTCTAAAAAGTCCTAGAAGTAAAATCAAAACTGTAAAAAATTAACGAAATTAATTACAGTATTATCACTGTTTCTGTGCCTTCTCGTTCTATCATATTCGCAATTTCGATTTAGCATAAATTTGCTTTTTATTGCGAATTAATCATACAGGAACTTTTAAAGCGAACGGAAAAAAATAGACTTCATTGATTACAGACTATGCACTTCGAGTGTTACACCAATTAGCAGTTCTCATTTACAAATATCTGGCAATATAAATGCTATAACATCATACAATATTATACAACATTATTGTATACTTACAGTATTATCATTTTCAAATTTGTTACGTCAGCCTCGTGTACAGTAAAAGTCTTTTTCGGAAACCATCATAGATTTGGCAGATCCACAGTAGAGACAATAAATGGTCGGATTGCCGAGCTGTCAAGGTGGCAGCCTACCGCTCTGGGGATTCGTAGATCGAATCCAGACGGATGAAAAATCCCATTTCGGTGGGTGGTCCGTCCGGGTATGTCGGGCCCCGTCCCTCACCACGCGGCTGCCCCATTGTGGGCCTGGCCAAACCCGTCAGAGACCCTCTTTATTGTCCACAGGGCGGAGAGTTAAAAAAAAAAAAACCATTTTGATCAAGTTACATAAAATTATGATTGCACGATAATCCGAAATTATTATTAGACTGAAATTCACTAGTTTTATGTAATTTTAGTTTAATGTATAAAACTAACCGCTCGTACAAATTTGTTTAAAACCCGTACTATTCGAAAAGCCCCAAAATGGCGGCTCCACAAAATGGCTCGTGTCCAGACCTATTTATATAGACGTTGCTTGGTAGGTTAATTACGTGCCACCATCTAGTGACTAATAATTAAACTAAATTATTGGAAGATTTTATTCAATGTACAAGTCCTTTTTGTGGTGATGTTAGAAATATTTATTACATAAAAATGCTTTGAGTGCTATTAAATAATTGTTAATTTTTTTCAATATCATTTAGAAGATATTTTAAAATGTTATTATTAAGTTCTAAATGGTTTTGGATCGTGCCGGAAAACATACCATTAAGAACCGGAAGACCGTGCAAGCGAAGACGTAAACATATTGAATTAAATTATATTAAAATTTAATTTTTAATGAAAAATTCTGAATCTCGAAGAGCATCTTCTTTTAAAACTAATAACGATTTCACTGTTTTTCCAAACTTGTAGAATAAAAGTCCGACGTATGATGTTTTCCGTGTAATTTCTTCAAACTTTTTGTCATAAATATGGCTGCTCGTTTGCTCTTTGCACTTTTTACTTCGGAATTTGAAAAATTAAACAATCGCTACATCAAGCTACAAGAGAAACTTTGCAATAGTCTATAGTTCCACTTACACTGTGAAGTAGACATAACTTTAAATATGTATATTTATATTTCCTTATAATTGCTTCCTTTTATCCTCTATAATTAATCAAAAACAATGGACGAGACAGCGAAAGCACCGGCCTTTGCTCTGAGGATTTGGGTTCGAGTTCCAGTCGGATTCTTAGAAATAGTTTTCTTTTCACTTATAGACTGTCCATAAATACTCCGCATTTTTCTTGAAATTTTCACTTCCGCTCCCCCTCTTGTCCAAGTTTCCGTAACCCTTCCCCACTTCGAACATCCAACAAAATTCAATTTCCCTTAAAATCTTCATCGTTTTATGAATGATAGATACCATAAGTAGAAACGAAACGTATAAGTGAACTTGAAATAAATATAATAAAATGCATAAATTGTATAAAATTTAATAAATAAAAGGTTGTCCACTGAAGCTCAATCCCTCTTCTCCCATTGTCCGACTTTGTCCAACACCCTTCCTCCTTTCCAGTGTGTGAGGCCATTTATGGACAGCCCCTTATTTCTCTTTTTTAAATTCCATTTTCTTTAAAGGTCTTATAAATAGGTTCAAAAATAGAGGATTCTTAGAAATTTTTAGGGCTACATCGACCCATATACGTCTAACAGCGGGTCAGAAATATTAAGAGAGGAGTGCAGAAAGGAAACAATATGCCTTAAATTTTATTTTTACTATCTGAAGTACTCGCCTTTACTCGAGAAAAATCCCAGAAAGGAATGCAGCTGCGCCCCGCGCATCCCCCTAAATCCGCTCCTGGAACTTTGCCCCGTCTCTCTTCGTCCAGATGTCCTAATCCGTGACGAGTATAAAAAATGTTCTCTTAGTAACTGTAGGAAAAAAAAAACTTTAGAAAATATATCTAAAAAGATGGAATATCTGGAATAAAACCATATTTAAACTCTCAAAATCTTTTTGTTTAGATTTGTCTTGTACTTCATTCGTGTTTATGATCGGTTAGATCGAGCCAACGATAACGAGCAATTATTTATTGTAACGTGTCACAATGCCGGGTTGCAATTTTTAATCATATTTTTAATTTTTTTCATTTAAAATACTGTATATGCTATCCACTTCAAATTAGTACTGTAGTTACTCTCGCCCCCGTACATCATACTCTTCCGTTAGCGAGTCATCTAACTCCTTTCGGGGGAAATTTTTAAATTGAAATAACGTGACTTCCGGTTTTCAACAGAAGTTTTTAATTAGTTAATAGGGGCCTCCTACCTTTAACCTTTCAGTATCCGGTCTTGAATTTCATTTACCTAACTCTGTTCTCGAGATTAAGGAAGGACAGACAGACGGACGACAGTGAGAATTTATAGGTCTACAGTTTTTTTCATATCGCAGCCCGATGAGAAGTTTATAAGCCAAATATTTTCTTCTGCCCATTTTTTTTCGGAATATCCTTCTTACCGAGAATCTATTCGGCCAAAATTTTTCTTAAATCCTAAGTGTCGTTCTTCTCCGTTCATTAAACCATGTTGAGTAGTTTCTCTCCACCGTGCACTTCGGTATTCCTCCTTCATTTTATCCTTGGTGAACCTCTTTCCTCCTACCACGCTCTTAAAATTCTCAGAATTTTAAGAGGTTGGTAGGAGGAAAGGTCCAACCCGCACCGTAAAGGGCTACGATTAGCCTACGCCCATTATGGCGGGAATCAGACCTTCAATGGGGTCGATACCACGAACGAAGGATGGAAGAACGATATTCTGATTCGTGATAAAAATTATGAGATTTCTGATCAGGCTGAAAGCAAGATCCCTCACGGGTTAATTAATTCTAATTACAATTTTTTTAGAAAGTTATATGAGTTGCCTGAGTGTTCGTACGAAACGTTGCGATACTTTTAACAAAAGGACCCAAATTCGGTTCTCATCTGGAAAAGACTGTTTTCTTCACTTCCGGGATGGCCCTTCTTAATATTTACTGTGACGAAACAAGATTATAATCAACAGCAATAAGCAAATAATTCTCAAATAATTCAAATTTATTCTTTAGCTTCAATAGGACCAGGATTGATGTTTGAGAAATGGAAGTGAAATTCGAATTATTCACGAAAGAAAGCCCAAGAATATGATCAAATTCGAACTCGAATCCCTTATCGTGTGGTAAAATCTCTAATCATTCATTTCATAAGCTGTATTTATATGTAAAATTCGAAGTATTTAAGTAGGCTTACTACAAAAGCAAAATACGGAATAATCCTCTAAACGAACTGATGCTTTCTTGGGGCTTTCGAGCTTAGATGTTCCCCCAAAAGAATCCATTTATAAATGCTAAAAGGAACTTTCGAGAGGCTTCGAAATTAGATGGCGCCTTAGGACATTCGGGTGTTTTAATTTGATAAAGATCTGTAATATCGATAGATTCCTTTGTTACTTAAAATATTATGGTAGAAAAACTCATAACAATCCATTATTTTATGGAAGTTATTTTTCATCGTGTAAAGAGAATTATAA